TTTGGATCCGGGGTCCCTGCACTGAGAACCTCCTAGACCCAGGGTAAAATTGATGCCAAGACACATGGAACACCAGGCCCACAGATATTGAAAGGAGACAAGGACCTTCACCTAGAGCTGACAGAGAGAGAGCCTTCCACTAGAGCTGGCGCTCTGAATTTGAACTTCTCGCTTCCTAAACTGTGAGAGAATAAATTTCCGTTTGTTAAAGCCATCCCCTTGTGGTATTTCTGTTACAGCAGCACTAGATAACTAAGACAGACATTATTTATTGCAAGTACAAGCCAAGGCCCCTTCTGCAAGGATAGTGCCTCCAGACCTCATCAATGCAGTGTGTGGTGTAATTGTCTGGGAGTGAGTAATGTACTCCCAGACTTTATGATGACTGTGAGGCAAGGGCCAACTTAGGAAAGGAAGAGGGTGGGTGTCTTAGACTGGGTTCTCTAGAGAAGCAAAACCAGTAAAGCGTTATAAATATATATAGAGAGAGATTTATATCAAGGAAACAGCTCATGCGACTGTAGAGGCTACAACATCCCAAGTCCGTGGATCAGGGTAGAGGCCTCTCTGAATTCACGCAGCTGCAGAAGCTGGCAAACCCAAGGTTGGCAGGTCAGAGAGCAGGGCTCCCGCTCACAGGCTGTGACGGTTGACAAATTCCAAGATCAGCAGACAAGACCACAAGGTTTCTCCTGATTTGCATAGCTGCAAGGGCTGGCGAACCCAAGATCAGCAGGTTGGGGAACAGGACTCTTGCTCACAGACTGTGAAGATTGACGAATTCCAAGATCAACAGGTAAACTGCTAGCTCAAGTCCCAAGAACGGGAGGTGAGACGACAAGAGGTAGCTGCTGGGTCTGGAACAAGCCAAAAACCTTGGCAAGGTGAGCAGGAAGGAAATAGCTGGTGGAGGGCAGAGAGATGAAGACTGAGGGGCGGTGAGCCACCACAGACCCCACCCCGACCGGTACCACTCAGCAGATTCCATCATGGGGATGATAGCATATTAAATTTCAACAGGGAAGTGATCACAACATTATACAACTGCCAAAACACTGAGAATCATGGTCTAGCCAAGTTGACATACAATCTTAACCATCAAAGTGGGCCAGGAAGGTTGTGGGGCTATAGTACACCCCTTGAAAGAGTCGTGGAGGAGGAGAGAATGACAAGGAAGGGAATCCATGTCTACCTCCACTTCGACCCAAAATCCTGTGTTCTTTTTTGTTTCTCTTGAATTTCTGACAACAAATTGTGCCTCTCAGATACATCCGTTTTGTTAATGGAAGTATCACTATGTATTTTTTTTCCGTTTGAATTAATGGAAGGAAATGTTCAGATAAGCAATGCTGTTTCTTCTAAAGTCCAGGAGAGGAACCGATTGAAAATGCTGACCCTTCCACAAAACCACCAACTCACCCACCCCAACAAGGTTCCTCTTATTGCCATGGTGTCATTAGTTTTCAACATGGAGGTGCTAGTTCTGGCTTTGCTTTGTTAAATGTTAGGAGATGAGAGCTGTTCATTGGTTTAACCTCTAAGGTGCAAGGTTCCTAGGTGAGGTTTGAAGTTTAGAGGGGAGGAAAGAGGAGGCTGCTGGAAGGTCCTGTGGAAGTGAAGGCTTCTGGGGCCTGAGCTATATGATCTATAAAAGAAGTCAGAGCAAGTCTATAGAGCAATTTAAAAACAGATGGGTTTCCTGAAATCTCCACCACACCATGTTTCCATGGCAACATCTCAGTTGATCCTGTCATTTGCTTAAAGTAATCTCCCATCTGCTTGGACAGAATCTTTGGTGTCAGTTGGAGGAAGAAGACCTATATCAGAACAATTGGACTAACCTTAGAAGGAAGGAGACAAGATTTTGGTTAGCTATTAGCGCTGTAGGAAGGTTTTCCTGAGTGTCAGGCCTCACGTTACCAGGAGCGATGTGAGAAGCTGCCTGCTCTGATGATTGTTGAGAATGGCGACAGCAGTTTTTTAGGTTGGAATGGCTGTGGCACCTTCCTTTCCTGTCTCTAGGCTTTGCTAACAGAGGATGCTTGCCAACCTGGAATTCATTCATTTGATAAAATATTTATAGAGCCTTCAGCATTGGATTCTGCCAAAAGCATCTATTATGCTGGTGAAATGCAGGCCCATCACAGTGAACAGTTATTGTCTTCATTTCCTATGATAGATTGGGAGAAAATAAAGACTAATATTCCAAATCCTCCAAATTACCAGTTTCTTCTTTTGACCCACTCTTGTGGGTGTGCTATGCTCAGGGTACTATGTTAGGTGTTAAAGTTATAAAAAGGAATGAAACCAGGTACAGGCCCTCCCCTCGACAGGCTTACTATCTAGGTGGGGTGATAGCACAGTGGCAGGATTTGAATAAATGGTGACATAAGGTGGCATATGCTCCAAAGCAAAGGTCCATACAATGAACTCCATAGAAATTAAAAACAGCCCTTTCTTCCAGGGCTGGAGTGTTGGGGAGAGGTTCATGGAGGTGGTGGGGCTTGAACTGGGCTTGAATGAAGGGCAGGACTGGGGCAAGAGGAGGGTATTGAAAATAAGTAGTGAGGAAAGTGACAGGAGAAGTACTGAGACTAGAATGAGCATGGGCAGCTCATTCAGGGAGAAAGGGGGAAAGGAGCAGAATCATTTAAGAAGTGTTCATGGCATGGATTGTGGAAGACAAAGTTGGCAATGGAGGGTTGGGGGTACAGGTTGTCAGATTCTGAAGGCCAAGGCAGGGAGACTTTACCCTGTCGGCAGTGAAGGATTATCAAAGGTTTTAGAGCAAGGGAGGTGTTTTATGCGAAATAATGCTGTAGGATGAGTAATCTGGTAATCACGCATTGGATGGATTGAAGCGGGAGGCACCAGAGGCAGGAAGATTGAATAGGAAGCTGTTTCAACAGTTCCGGGGTTAGAATGGTGGTTGAGGGAATGGAAAGAAAGGAATGAGTGGATGCATGGATGGAATGGAAGAATGAAATGGATGGACACGAGAGATACTGAGAAGGAACAGACTAACTGATTGGATCTACCCGAGGAGGCAGAGGGAGAGTGTAAGGTCTGAGCTCAGGTCAATAGGAAAGAAGTGGTACCTTTTAAAGAAATGATATCTACTACGCATCAAGCCCCCTGTTAAGCAAAAAGATGAGTAGAAAATTCTCACCCATAAGTAGCACATAGCCTAGTAGAAGACAAGCCTGATTATAGGTGCTCAGATAGAAGGCTCAAAGGAAGGAGTGGTCCTCCCACTCTGGGGAGGGGGAGGGAAAGGAGGCATGTCTTAGTCATCTAGTGCTGCTATAACAGAAATACCACAAGTGGATGGTTTTAACAAAGAGAAATTTATTCTCTCACAGTCTAGTAGGCTAGAAGTCCAAATTCAGGATGTCAGCTCCAGGGGAAGGCTTTCTCTCGCTGTCGGCTCTGGAGAAAGGTCCTTCTCGTCGATCTTCCCCTGGTCTAGGAGCTTCTCCATGCAGGAATCCTGAGTCCAAAGGACACACTCTGCTTCCGGTGCTTCTTTCTTGGTGGTATGAGGTCCCCAACTCTCTGCTTGCTTCCCTTTCCCCTTATCTCTTATAAGATAAAAGGTGGTGCAGGCCACACCCCAGGGAAACTCCCTTTACGTTGGATCAGGGATGTGACCTGAGTAAGGGTGTTACATCCCACCCTAATCCTCTTTAACCACAAGCAGAGATTATGATTTATAACACATAGGAAAATCACAAAATGGAGGACAACCACACAACACTGGGAATCGTGGCCTAACCAAGTTGACATATATTTTTTGGGGGGACACGATTCAATCCATGACAGGGCATCAGGAAAAGGTTTCTTAGAGATAATCTTGAGGGGGAGGTTGTTTGAGGAGTAAACATTTTTCTTAAGGGTGATATTTGATTTCAGAGTTGATTTTGGGGTGAAGCAGAACATCTGAGTGGGACTCACCCATTCATTCAATTCATTGTTGTGGAGGGACCACTATGTGACACTACCTGGGGCAGGAACTCTAGGAACAGAGAGATGAATGAGGCTTGCTCCCTGCCCTAGAGGAATAGCCCATTTAATGGGGACAAGACAGCATTTATTCCAACAGTCAAGATATTTACTGAGACCCTACTACTTGCTAGGTGCTACTGTGGGTGCTGGGAATACAGGAGTGAACAAAATGGACTCAATTCCCTGTTCTCAGGAAGAGCACATTCTAGTTAAGAACCTACTTAAATAAAAGGCAAAAGTAGGCTAAGCAGTAAAAAGCAGGTTCAAGGAAAGAGCTGAGGGTGTAGAGAAAAGGAACAGTGAGTTCCAACAGGGTGATCTTGTGCTGGGAGGCTTGTGCTGTGAAGCAAGGGGTTGACTGGCAGAATCATTAAACAGAAGTTGGAGGCATCAGTTGGGAGCTGAGAGGAAGGGTCAGGTCAGATTGTGGAATGAATCTGAGCACCCAGTGTGCACCTCATGATAAGATGATGTACTTGTAGTTTTGTGAGGAGGCATCTTTGTAGCTGTGACAGCTGAAGCCAGGCATGAATGACTCTGTGTGTTTTGTGCCCAAAGGGACTCCCTCCCAGTGGAGCGAAGCTGTCAGCCCTTCTTTTTCAGGGTCTGCGAGTCCTGGTTGTTAACTGAGTGCTGATGGATCCCAGCCCAAACAACCCACCACAGCCAAAGGAGCAGTGCATTTGGCTGCTTGCAGGCCCATGTTCACAGAGCAGTATCCCTGGCTCCTACATGAAATGCTGTCACACTGATCCAAAGCTTGTTTACTAGTATAACAGAGTGGTCTTCCGAGAGACCGTGGGTCTGCACCTCTAAAATCCCTCAAATCAGGAACCCGTGGGGCCCGTTCCAGGCCTCTGACCTATGCTACCCTGTACGTGAGAACCGCTGTCAGGTGCTGATGAAATCAGTGTTTTTGCCGGAGTGCTCTGAGAGTCTCAGTTAGAAGTTTAACTGTGACTGGCTAGCTCTCACCTCCTCACAGAAGCAGATAGCGTATGTGTGTGTCATCTTTCCCAACTCGGTTATTTTTCTGAGGATTCTCATTACTAAGAGTGGTGGAGTCTCTTGCATATGTCCTACTGAACAGGTGTTAGATTTGTGAGGAGGTCGGTTAAAAAAAATCAATATGTTTTTATGGTGGTGCCTGGTAGGATTTACAAGGTTATATAGCATTTTAATGCACTGAGTGGGTTTTCACTCAAATCCTGGCAAGAAGGGCAGAGAATCATTTCCAATAACCATCGTCAGCAGCTGGCTCTGTTGGGGCTGAGGTGCAAGGAAGTCATGAAGACTGAGATTAGTTAAGCAGGTCCTCTGGGCAAAGTGCAGATCAATAACCTGTGGTCAGTAAGGGTTTTGGCAAAGCTTAGTTCTGTCTGGGGAGTTCAGTTCTTCCTGTAGAGACTGGCCGGAGGGTCCCAGGGTTCTGTTTGCTTCCTTCTCCCTCTGCTCCCCATCTTCTCCTGTAGGGGGTGAGCAGCTTGCTCTGGACTGACTGTCATCCTCTGGAATCTTCCAGAATGTCTCCACATGCTCCTCAAAATCTTACTGTCAGTAACCCAGTCTTGGGACTCGACCACCCTGCCAGCCAATTTAACTATTTTCTGTTGTTTACTTTTTTGAAGGCTCAGAAACAGCCAAATAAACATCATATCCAAGATTATCTCGGCATAGCCAGTAATGAATTTGCACTGCAAAAGCCTTGAAGCTGGTGGCCGTGCTTTTTTTTTTAATTTATATCCTGTTAATATTTTTCATTTGTCAGAACTTTCTTCCCTTGAAGTTTATATATGCGTTTAGGATATGCCAGGTACCAAGCTAAGGGCTATGTAGTAATTTTATTTAATCTTCACAGTATCTCTGTGATCACCACCTCCAGCTGCCTTTCAGTAGATTCAGACTCATGGTGACCCCATGTGTTGCACAGTAGAACTGCTCTCCAGGGTTTTCATGGCTGTGGTCTTTCGGAAGCAGATCACCAGGACTTGCTTACGAGGTGCCTCTGAGTAGGTTCAAACCACCAATCTTTCCATTAGTAGCCGAGCACTTAACTATTTGTGCTGCCCAGGGATTCCAGTGGAAGTTCTGAAATCATCCGCATTTTACAGATGAGGCTATACAAGTTAAGTAATTTGATCAAGGTCATATAGCTAGTAAATGCTGAAGCCAGGATATAAGCCCAGCACTCTGACTCCAAAGTCTGTATTCTTAACCGCTGCACCACACAATAATAGATGTGGGTTTGAATACCAATTCAGTCTCTTCCTAGCTATGTAACCTGGGGCAATTTAATTCATCTCTCTTGAGTTTTGGTTTCCTTACCTGTAAAATGAGACTAAAAAGACCTCCCTCACAGGGTTATTCAGTTCTCTTCAGCAGCTCACCTACTGGGTGGCTGGCCCCATGCAAGGTGCTGGAGGTATAAAGGTGTTTGCAATGAGTCTCGCCCTCAAGGATCAGAGAGTTTCAGTATGACGTGGTGGATTGGGGGTAGGAGGTATGAATGGGGCTGTGGGAACCCCAAAGTGATGAGTTTGCCTAAGGTTAGGGTTCTTGGAAGGCTGTCTGAAGGAAAGGATGTCTACACTGGGACCTAAAGGGCTATAGCCAAGGTTTTTCCACAGAGGCACACACAGACAAAGGCAGCACAGCTTGAAACAGCAAGATGGGGGATGAACAGGAGCACAGTGTAACTGGAGTGGTGAAGGGAAAGGAGATGGGAGAGGAGTGCTGGAAATGAAGACGGAGGGAAGGTGGGGAGGGACAGCATGGGGGAGGCACCTCATGTGACACACTAAGAAGTTTAGATTTTCCTCTGTGGAGGGTGAGGTATATTGAAGGGTTTTGAGAATGAGAGTAAAATGTTTAGTCTCCTGTTTTAGGTAGATCAGTATGGAGGTTCTGTGGAGGATGGATTTGAGGGGGGCAAAACTGAAGGTAAGGAGACTAAAAAGGAGGATGTTGTGTTAGTCCTCATGAAAGATGGTGAGAGCTACAAGAAGGAAAGTGTGTAGGGATGGTGTGATGGTTGAGATTGTGTGTCAGCTTGGTTGGACTGTAATCCTTAGTGGTTTGGCAGTTATGATACAGTTTGGCAACTATTTAATGATGTAATCACCTCTATAATGAGATCTCATATAATGTGATCACCTCCATGATGAGATTGGTTGTGAGCAGCCAATCAGTTGAAAGAGAATTTCCTTAGGGGTGTGACCTGCATCCAATATAGATGGACTTTCTGACAAGGCTTATGGGCTTTTGCTTACTCTGGATCTTGCAGCTGGCTCTTGTTCATCTGACCTCTGGTTCTTGGGACTAGAGCTATCAGTTTACCTGCAGTCTTGCCTGATGATCTTGGGATTTGTCAGTCTTTGCAGCAAGTGAGCAAGAGCCCTGCTGTCTGACCTGCCCATCTTAGGTTCCCCGGTCCCTGTGGCTGCATGAGTCAGGAGAAGCCTCCAGCCTGATCCACGGACTTGGGAAGTTCCAGCCTCTACGACTGTGTGAGCCATTTCCTTGATATAAATTTCTCTCTATATATATTTATATGCTGCACTGGTTTTGCTACTTTAGAGAACCAGCCTAAGATGAAGAGGATTTTGAATTTGACAGGTCCTGATGACTGAGTGGATGTGGGCTTGAAGACTTGTTAGCTGCTGTGAGTCAACTCTGACTAATGGCAATCCCATGTACAACAGAATGAAACGTTGCCTGATCCTGTGCCATCTTCATGATCATTGGTATGCTTGAGTCCATTGTTGCAGCCACTGTGTATTCTGAGTGCATTCCAACCTAGGGGACTCATCTTCCTGCACTGTATTGGACAGTATTCTCTGTGATTCATAGGGTTTTCATTAGCTACTTTTTCAGAAGTAAATTATCAAGGCTTTCTTCCAAATTTGTATTAGTCTGTAAACTCTACTGCAGCCTGCCCACCATGTTCAGTGTGAGAGGTCCATGGAATAGCTGCTCCTCCTGGAGCTTCATATCACTGAGCCATGGAGTTACTTCACCTACACTAAATCACTACACTGTTTTACATTTAGATGACAGATTTATAAGAAAAAAGAATTACTGGAGCAGGGTGTAAACTCTGTCATAATCTGAAGCGTTTCCTCTCTGTTTCAGTCTACTGACTAGATGGCAGAGTAAAATGTGAAAGTTTGACAAAAAAATAATGTAGCTGTGTCAGCCTTCAATGTTTCAGGCATAAAATGAAATTTAACATTGTATTATGTATCTGAAGACTTGTCATCATAAGGCTGGCCAGACAAATATGATTTAGGGGGCCAACAGCTTTGAGGAATGAATAGTAGAAATAAAATATGGAATCAAATAAGAGTAGAGACTAGCTAAATTTTTAAAAATATATATGATGATGTTAAACTATCCCTTTTGGTTGCATTGTTTACTATCACCTTCCTCGTGACCAGTCTGACCAAAGGAATCTGATGTGTTGGACAACTACTGAAATCTGAAAATACAATGCCCCCAAACCATAACCCTGTCCTGACCATCTCTTTCTTTTATCTCTCATCTCTCTGAATTCTCTCCACATGTTCTAGTAATTTTCTCCTTTCTGGGGGCCTTCAATCTGCAATCCCCCTCATATTTTTCTTGTTAGCCAGATGGTTTAGTCTGTCAACAGACTAATTTCCAAGTTCTGAAGGTAAAGCTACGAGCATGTTCTTGCCCTGTAGTCTATCTGAGCACACCCTTACCCAGACACAGTCCCTGTCCACGGTGGGGATCTGGGTGTCCTACTGCTACCTGCTCTTCTCTGCAAAGTGTTCAAAGAGTGTCTGCTCAGTTCTGTGACCTGGCCTTTGAGGCTTGTCATTTCTGTCAACATAAGAAGTGAAATATAGGTCAGCCTCACAGATCCCAGTGTTAAAAATAAAAGCTTCATTCCCCAGGCGCTGCAGGTTTGTGGACTGGCCTGGCTTCCACCCTTTCCACCTACCCCACTTCTAAATTGCTTCTTGGAGCTAGCTGATGCTTCCCTCCACATAAAAGGGAACCTGAAAATAGAAGATCAGCCGAAATTACCTCCCTTGGCAGACTCTATTCCGAAATGCAAAGACTGCCTGAATGGAAATTGTAAATAGAAACACTGAGCCTATTTCCACCTAGTTGTGGGATGAGGAAGGCTGGTTGCTGATAGAGAGTGGGTGGAGAGCTTCAAGCTCACTCTCTGTAGAAGCTCAGGTCCTGGAGTGGAGGCTGGGAGGGGTCCTTCTTTCTCTCAGGAGCCCCCAGCCAGCCCCTCCTGCCACAAACATGGTAGCCAAGTGACTGGCAGTAGGATTCCTCATAATTTCAACAAAAGGACCTCTAATCTCACCTTTCTTATTCCTAGTTGTTATGGACTGAATTGTGTCCCCCCCAAAATATGTGTTAGAATCCTAACCCCTAAACCTGTGAGCCCTGGGTGGTGCAGTAGATAAGCTCTCGGATGCTAATCAAAAGGTCAGCAGTTCAAACCCACTGGAGGCTCCACAGGAGAAAGATGTGACAGTCTGCTTCCTTAATGATTATAGCCTTGGAAACACTATGGGGCAGTTTTACTCGTCCTATAGGGTCACTATGAGGTGGAATTGACTCCATGGCAACAGATTTGGTTTCGGTTTATACCTGTGGATGAAATCCCATTTGGGAATCAGGTTTTCTTTGGTATGTTAATGAGGCCATATCAGTGTACCAAAAAACCTGTTGCTGTTGAGTTGACTCCAACTCCGCATGACCCCATAGAGTTTCCAAGGCTGTAAATCACTACAGAAGTAAAGTGCCATATCTTTCTCCCACGGAGCTGGAGCTGCTGGTGGTTTTGGACTGCTAACCTTTAGCAGTAAGTCACTTTAACCGCTGCCCCACCAAGGCTCCTTATAGAGTATATCTAAAAGTACTCACTTTTGAGATATGAAAAGAGCAGATTAGGCACAGAGAAGTAAGCATGACTAGGGGAAAGAGGTGCTGCGTGGAGATCTCCAGGGAACA